TAAATGTAAATGTAAGGGGTTCATACATCATGGGGAATGTTTTCATGCTTCATGGTCATTTCAAATATCTTCCCTTATTTTAAGCGTACCTGATTGGCAGAAAACGATAAAAGCCTTTGAATTTGTAAAAGATCCTTTTCAGAAAGCCGAATTTGCATCTTCAATGCGTTGTATCACGTTCAACATGGAAAAACGAAATTGAATCAATAGCATGTAGATTAATTCATTAAAATAATAAATTAATTATAAAAAGAATGATTAAAAACGTAAAACTCTCCTGATTGAAGATCAAACTCTCTGTAGCGTAGTGTCAAGAGTGTGCTAATAACGTATTGTAGGCCTATTTTACTAAATAATTATAGAGGACAAAGAGGGGGTGGCCAAGAGAGGATATTTAATTGTGAGGTGCGTGTTATCTCACCCTCATTGTGCCTTTATTTACAGTAGTAGAGAAGGTAAATTTCTTACCGTAATAGGATCACAAGTTCACAACTCTAATAGAATAATATTTAGTCTAAGAGATATGATAGAATCCAATAAGGATATTCCAGATATGATAGGATTTACACAATCACATTCCTAAATTATCATGTGGTGAGAAAATACGACACTAAGGTGGGTCTAGTAGCACTCATTTCTTTTGGTAAAAAAAAAAACCACCCCACTTTTAATAGCTGAAAATATAACTTTAGACTCTGCAGATTGAAAAAAAAAAAAAAAAAAAAAAAAAAAAAAAAAAAAAAAACCACCTCCCTCCAATGTCTTATAATTATGAGAAAATGCTTTTAATGCCAAAACAAGAAATCGTGATTTATAGGGTTCAAATTCAAATTCCATAGATAATATGGAAGGTATTGTCTATAATCATAGGCAAATAAAAGACTTTATCAAAAAATTTTATTCATGAACGATGTTTTGAAAATGGATTTTGGTTGAATTTTTTCAATTCATTGAAATTGAAAAAGTAAACAATTGAATTGGATTTAGTTGGATGGTACCAACGAAATCAAGCACTAACACAAGAAAAAAGTAATGGCGGCCGGCAAGAGCAAAGAAAAGAAGAGCAAACCCCTCTTAGCTAACAAATATGAACCCCTTTCGAGTACCCCTATCCTAGAAATAGAAAACAAAACGTGAATTTTTATGATCCACTAAAGAATCAAATCTATATAAATGTTCCTGCTATTCTATATTTCCTTGAAAGAGGTGCTTAACCTACGAGAACTATTCATGATATTTCAAAAAAGGCGGGGGAATCGAGAATGAAGTTTTCATTCTATAAATGTCAGATCATGAATTAGTAATTGCATCCAATCTCCAAAAAAATCTCAATTCTTTCGAACTTTCTCTTTTTGGAATCAAAGAATTTGTAGATTTGTTACGCCAAAAATGGGAGTGGGCTAGCGTTATGAACTTATAATCTATAATCTGATGATTGAGTCTACTAGGATCTCCTATAAAAAATAAAAGATCATTCATATAGAGCATAGTCCAAGCGAACCCACTTAAAAGCTTTACTGAACTATGAATGGCCATCATATTAGCAAATAAACGTATTCCTGAGCTTAATGCACCAAAACAATGAGAAATTAGCTCAAGGAGTACTAAAAAGGGCGAGGTGCCCCTAATTTAAAAGGAGTAGATAAAATGCCTCGAGCTAATGTTCGAGTACCAGGCGCCACGACACTGAAGTAACCCATGCCATACTCTAAAAAAAAGCTCGAACGACCTTCAACAAAAGGGTACCGGTACCTGAAATCAACACAAGTGGATAGGTAGAAAATACCTAAGGGCGCGAGACAACTCTCTCTAAGGAACTCGACAAGATATTCCCATAACTTCGGGATAAGGGGTGCCCCCTCACAAAGGGGGTCGCAGTGACCAATCTAACATAATTTTTTTTATCTAAATAAAATTCATTGACTAGAATCCATATAAGTAAATTCATTAATTCTATTTGACTTTACACTTTTATGATGCCTAAAATACCCTTAAATACAATTTTAATGTATACAATTAATTTGTATGCGAATTTAAAGGGAGAGATTAATAATTTCAAAAATAAAACATTAATATTTTAAATTCATCCTTAATTCATGGATTGGGGCCAATCCTTGATTCAGGGATTTGACTACAATACTTACATGTATTTAATACATTCACCATTTTACAGTTGGTGATTGTAATAAATACATATATTCACATAAACTATGTCTGATCGTTAGATGATGATTATAATTTTTTTTTAACAAACGATATTATCTACATTAAGACGATCTCCAACCCTTGGGGTAAAACTCAAATTTTAGGTTCTAAACTTACTCCAACTTACTCCAACCCTTGGGGCAAATATGAGTTTTGGGTCAAAACTCATTTATGGGACAAATTTAGCCTAGAATTCCCCTCAAGTTAGTGGGGCTAGCCCATCATATATATGTTTTTTTTTAGTTTTTTTTTTATTTTTTATAAATCAATTGAATTCAACGGCTAAAATCTAGAATTCCCCATAAGTTAGTGGGGCTGGCCTATCATATATGTGTTCTTTTTTTAGTTTTATTTTTATAAATCAATTGAATTCAACGGCTAAAATCTAATATGATTAAATCCAACGGTTAAAAAAAAAATCTACCGGTATAAATTTAAATTTAACTGCTAATGTAACATTCCACATCGCCCAGGGGAGTGATCTTTAAATGTTTATTTACATCCCTACCTAGCACGAGGCCTTTTGAGAGCTTATTGGCTTCGGGTTCCGAAGGAACTCCGAAGTTAAGCGAGAAGGAGGCCAGAGCACTCCCAGGATGGGTGACCTACTGGGAAGTTGCTCGTGAGTTCCCAAAAACAAAATCGTGAGGGAATGGTCAGCCAAAAGGGGACAATATCGTGTTACGGTGGCGGAACGGGCTCTGGATGTGGTGGACCTGAGCCGGGATGTGACAAAATGGTATCAAAGCCAATCCCTGGCCAGAAGTGTGTCGACGAAGACATCGGGCCCCTAAGGGGGGTGGATTGTAACATCCCACATCGCCTAGGGGAGTGATCTTTAAATGTATATTCTCATCCCTACCTAGCACAAGGCCTTTTGGGAGCTCATTGACTTCGGGCTCCGTAGGAACTCTTAAGTTAAGCGAGAAGAAGGTCAGGTCACTCCCAGGATGGGTGACTCACTGGGAAGTTACTCGTGAGTTCCCAAAAACAAAACCGTGAGGGAATGGTAAGCCCAAAGCGGACAATATCGTGTTATGGTGGTGGAATGGGCTCGGGATGTGGTGGACCCGAACCCGGATGTGATAGCTAAAGTAATTTAAAAAAAAATCTTTTATGTGTTTCATATTCTTTCATAGTGTTTCACGAGTTTCATTGTGTTGGTTTAATGATTTTTCAATATTTATAGGAATCTAAATATTTTTTAAGTTAAAATATTCATAAAATTAAATTAGGAAAGTCTACATAATTTTTTTAAAGTTACTTTAAGAAAAAAATATTATTCTAAATTCATTATTTAATAATCTCGGACTAAAAATTTAACACATAAGGGTTGGAGAAGAAAAATTATTTCTGGGTTAAAAATTTTAAGTATTAACCCAACGGTTGGAGAGGGTTTAAGGGAGAGGGTGTGAACTTAGTCTTATAAATAGCTAACAATAATATGATTCAAATTTGCCTTTGAAGAGAATAAAAACTAAAACTCTTACTTATAAGGAAAAAATATACCATGAGACCATATTACTAAGTGATTTAAATACATATAATAGTGAAGAGATTACGTCTTACAATTGCAAAACACATGACTTTTGACCATTTGACCATTTCATGAAAACAACCGTAAAATTATGTGAGCGCCAAATCCCATAGCATAGCCTATAATTTTCAATAACCACATGTATCTCTAGTAAAAGGGGCTATTTTCTAGTTAACAGGCAAGGTTGGCTACAAAGTATAGCGTTCGAGTTCACTACTTGTAGCCCTCAAGTCAGCTATATTTAGCCCTTTCACAAAGCTTTTTTGTGAAGCATGAAGGAGATTCAACCTTTTTCTTCTCTCCTTCTCACTTTTTATAATAAAATACAAATATTTAGCCTTGTATTGTTAGAGATGAAAAAAAATAGCCGATACTACACATTGAAAAAAAAGTTAGATTTTCACTTAGAGTGTGATATCCACACACTCTATTTTACTTTTCACACATCTTTTTAATTTTCGACCTTCGAATCGGATGAATTGAAGAAGATCAACGGACATAAATTATCAAAGAATGTATGAGAAGTAAAATATGGTGTGTGGATAGTACACTCCTTTCACTTTTCTCCCATTAAGATAGAAGAAAAAAGAGCACATAAAAACAAAACCTTCTACTTTTTATTTTCATTTATATTTGATTAATGAAGAGGTATTCGGAGTTGAAATATCTTTTAATAATATAAAAAGAGAAGAATCCAAAAGTTGATTGGAAATTATTGACACTTTTAGCTGTCTATTGTGATATCCAAATGATCTATTGCGTCCATTGATTTCAGTTTCGCTACCTGCTGAAATTCTAATGCTCATAGTATTTCATAAGAAAATGAGGTTATTGCTGGCACAGCATATATTTAATTTAAATTACGGAGAATAATATTTGAATTTGAACATAGAAAGAGTAACAACATCAACCACATTAGGGTGGCCATTATTAGAGACAAATTTCAAATTCGTATCACACGATACGCATTGAGTTTGATTCCTGACATTGGTGAATCGCACGTTGATGACTAGATAAAGATTAAAATATCTCTGTGAATCTCGGCTTCCTAAAAAATAAACTATCATGGCTAAGCCACTGATCATTTAAAAAAAAAAAAAACAAGTTAACAACGTCAGTTGAAAGTACATCTCAACGTGATAATGTGGTCCAATTAACTTTGGTTTTTATTATGAACAAAAAGTAACTTCGGTTAACTACATTCTTCATAAGGTAGTGAGATTAATTAATTTGCATGTTTAGTAAGAACCGGAAGAGTTAACAAATTCACAGAAAACAGGGGGTTAATTAAGGCGGACTGGCCACTTTCTGTCACCTTACCAAAAACCTCATCCTTTCGCCCTCAGCATGCATTGATACCACCAAAGCACATTTCCTTAAAGAACGTGCACCCAAAATCACCTCACATTCTCCGTCCGATCAAATCCAACGGCAGATACCCTGTCAACATTAACAGGCGTGAACAAACGCACAATACCAACTCAACGAACGATACCGCAGAAATCAGAAACGAAGAGTGAAGACTGAAGATCTCTGTCCTTTCGTTTCCGCCCAGAACTTTACCAAAATTACACTAACGCACCCGAACGACAGACAATAATGCACCAAAAGTCGGATTCGGAGGTGACGATGAGCGTAGAGCAGTCGACGCCGCCGCGGTCGCCTCGCCGCCCGATTTACTACGTCCAGAGCCCCTCCAACCACGACGTCGATAAGATGTCGTACGGTTCGAGCCCCATCGGCTCGCCGCAGCACCACTACTACCACTGCTCCCCTGTGCACCACTCCCGCGAGTCCTCCACGTCGAGATTCTCCGCCTCCCTGAAAAACCCCCGCAGCATGTCCACCTGGCGGAAGCTGCAGCGCGGCGACGAAGTGGAATTGTCCGAAGACGACGAAAGTGGCTCCGCAGTCGACGACGGCGGCCCGGCGCGTAATATTAGGTTGTACTTCTGCTTCGCGCTGCTGTTCGTTGTACTCTTCACGGTGTTTTCTTTGATCTTGTGGGGCGCCAGCAAGGCTTACGAGCCTCGAGTCATTGTTAAGGTAATCACAGATAAATGATTTTCGCACTCTAGTTTTCTTTAACGTTTTCTTGTAACTTAATTTTCTGTAATTTATTTAATTAAAATAACAAAAATAAACATGTATAATGTGCAAAAAAGATGTTCTATTTATTTATGTTACTTGATTATCTTTTAATTTATTTAATCAATATAAGAAAAATATCTTTTTTATTTAACAAGAACTTAAATGAGACGATTAGTTGTTTGATTTTCTTTTAATTTAATTAATTAAAATATTAAAAAATTAACAGAGTGTGAACGTAGAGAAAAGAAAGCACGCCGGAATCACTTTTACGTTTAATTTTTTTACACGGTAATGGACCGAGTTGACTCGGTTGAGGGGGATTTGATTTGATTTGACTGACGGCGTTTTGTTTTGGGGCGAGCAGAATATTGTGTTCGAGAGTTTCAATATACAGGCGGGGAGCGACAGGACGGGGGTGTCGACGGAATTGCTGTCGTTGAATTCGACGGTTAGGATCTCTTACAGGAATCCGGCGACATTTTTCGGCGTCCACGTCACTTCTACTCCATTGGAGCTCCACTATTACCAGCTCAAGGTTGCGTCCGGGCAGGTGCGTAATGTCCATTGTACCGTCGATAACTAAGGGGAATATGAATAAATGCATGTTTGTGGATGGGTAATTTGGTCATTTTAACTTTAGAAAGTTTAGATATGATTGAGTTCCAACGTTAATGGGTTTTGTACTTTGCTGGTTATTTATTATGAGAATATTTTGTTAACCATACCTAGGTGGTGTTGATTTTTACTGTTTACTTATGTTGGATGAGTTTATTTTTTTATATTTATATTGATAGATATAAAATTTAAAATTTAAAATTACTTAATAATAATAAATAAAGTAACGTCACTTCAGCTAAAAATTTTAAAAATTTTAATATATGTACAGTAAACTGACAGAAACTTTAAAATATAAACTATTGTAATGGAAATAATAGGAAATAGATCTTCATTGAATTTCTTTCTCGGATCAAATGGTTTAAACTTTTCAAATTTTATTCGACGTTATATTTGAATGATCCGAATCATGAAAGACAGGATCTCTTTCCGAAATAATACGGTTTGAGTTTTATGGGGGTGGGGTCAAAACGGCAGACGTCGGGAGTTGGGACAGCAGTTGAAGGTTTAATCGTCTTTATTGGGGTGACTGAAAAGCTGTGTGTTCTGCCAGAGCATGAAAACCCCAACACCTTTAATACAAACATCTCTGTGGGGACGCGTGGGCTCAATGTTATTAGGTTAAATGTGAAAATGGTTTGACCAAAAACAATGAATATATGAAAATGGTTGTGTTGTGAGTCTAGTGTGATCCGAGTTGTTATGTGATGTTACTAATTAAAGTTTCACGACGTAATACTCATGGTGTAGATATATATTGTAAACGTGAATATATGACACTAATAGTCACACTAAAAAAATTCATAGTTATAAGATATAATGTTTATAAATATATTCATGTTGTTACAGGTCGGACAAAGAAAAAGAATGACATGTATAGTATGTGTTCGTCTTGAAAACAATCATTAAAGCATATTCTTTGTGAGGTGGGTTGTTTAGGGCTTAATGTTATTGCATCTGTGAGTTGGTAAAAACACATAGCGATATAATAATGTTCACGTCAGAAACCTACTAAAGTAGAGTTTTCTTCATTTGGGATAACCATGATCAAAACTACTCGATTAGTTTGAAATTTTCATATTTCTATACAATATCTATATGCATTACCATATATGCTCTTGCAATCAAACATAAGAGTAGGTTAAATTCCAAAGATTGACGGATTTCAATGGAGAATCAGAATCCACTTTTTGGCTATTTGTTCATCTTTTAATTGGTAAAAGTCTTAAAAGACTACCAAAAGCCGGGTGATGATTCCAACTTCTAAATACATGGCCTTTCTTATCTTGTAGCTCAAGTCATTTGATAGTTCGGCTTGCCAAAGAGATACCCCTGTTTGCTATTTATTTTTTTGGTGGTCAATAAACTAGATGGAAGGTAATGCAAGTAATGTACATGAAAACATAGGAATTAGTACATAAATCAAGAACTTAAAAGGGTTAACTGGAAGTACTGCTTTTAGTGATCGCCATTTATGTTCAGAACTGATAGCAAGATCACTACCAAGCTTGAAGCATTTTTTCGGTCAGTTTGCAGCAAGTTTGGACGTCCTTATTACCCTTATTGATTATTTAACTGAGACTTTTTTTCCGATGAAATGAAACAGATTGAAAACTTCTACCAAGCAAGGAAGACGCATCGAACAATAAGGACGGTTGTGCTAGGGTACCAAGTGGCTCTTTACGGTGGAATTTCAGATATTCAACATGTTAAAGAGGATCAGCAGAGAGTGCTAATACCACTGAATCTGACGTTCGTTGTGAGGTCAAGAGCCGACATTTTGGGAAAACTAGTGAAGTCCAAGTTTTATGAGAGAATCAGATGTTCTGTCACCCTTAGAGGAAGCACACTAGGCAAGCACTCTAATTTGACAGACTATTGTGTGTACGACTGAATGATATACCATGTTTATCACTTGTAATTTTTTTGGGGATCTCTTAGCGTGGATTAATTGTACCAATTCAACTGCTTAGATTATCTTGATGTCTCAAGCAACATCTCTTTCTCGATGAAGTTCTGCACGATTTGGTTAGTTCAGAAGTAAGCCTGAACTTACTTTAAAGTCTTTGCTCAGCCCGAACATTCCTACCTTGCCCTGACTTGAGCGCTAGGGAATTATCCAGTGGCCAAGCTCACTATGCGGCAACAACATCCATCCAACAAGCTATTCTTCTTGTTAGCGAAGGCTTCTTGAAAATGAGTTGGTGGGATGACTAGGAGCGGAAGATGCTAGACACTGGAGGACTTTGGAAAGAACCGAAATGAGGAGCTACAGGGACCAAAATGGAAAAGGCACGAAGCAGAGTAACTAGCTAGTTAATTTAATAGACACTCCTCTGGCCAGTTAGAAAGGCAATAAAGTCAGTATAGACTATAAAGAAAAGGATTTTTAATGTACCCTCAATACATCTTGCTACCATGCATATAGTCTCATTTAAAAATAAATTTTTTTTGTCCCCAATTAATTAGAATTGAATCCAATAGGCCCCTCGTTACTGCCTAGAGCAGAAGTCATACGTAGGAATTACAAGATCAGGACCCGTGGTGTCCAAGCCAATTGGCCAGGCGACGACGACTTCACTTATTAGATTGGTATTAGCCGTGCCGCATGCTCGTTTTGATTGGGAGCGCGGTGGGCACTACATAGAGTAGTTCTCCACCAATCAAGTAACCACCAACTCAACATCAAAGTACGTTGCCCAATTGAAGTGAAAATCCCCTTTCCTTCGAAAGGTATGAGCTCAAATTCGGCTTGGGGGGTAGACCCTTGAGTGATCCCTTGCTCTCACGTTTGAGTGTTTGCTCGTTGTTTAGGCCGGTGAGTAAGATTTCTGCTCATTGCAATCATGTCTAGGGTTCTTCGCACCTGGATAGTACCAGGACCCTTGTGCCTTGGCCCTTGATCAAATAAAGTTGCCATCCCTATGGCCCACAATTAAAAATGAGAGGAAGATTTTTATAAAGAAGTGAGTTTATATTGATGGCCTTTGTTGAACAGAGAACGAACGGGCGATAAGTTACTTAATTTACCAGTCGTAGCCTATGGCTTCATCTTTTACTCCCACCAGGTAAAGGAATTACTTACTTGCAACCAAACAAGCGCATTCAATTCTTAGAATATGTCACTTGTTTTTTGATATATGTATTATGCACAAAAGCATGCGAAGAAAGCAGCAGGCGAGAAAAAACCTTTATTAATAACAAGACTTCGGACTGGAATAACTTTACTTTATCATTCCAAGGCATGATCCATCGCCTTATATGTGCGGGGTCGCATTAGGTTCTGCTCTGCCTCATCCTTGAGTTAGTTCCAGAACGTCTTGGGAAACTTGAGGGAGGGTAATGGGCAAGGGTTCTAGGGGTACAGGAAACTAGTCACAAGGTCGATCCCAAAACCATAATGTCTCAAAATGAAAAGGTCATACATAAACTCTTTTTATTCCTTTGTCTCGTACTTCATGAAGAACTTCATTCTCTTTCCCTCGATATGAACAAAAAAGTGGTGGTGTTGTATACCGGGGATGTCACATCTCGGCCTGGGCCCCCACTATATCTCAGGCTCAACTCTGCCATAGCACTATAATATCCGCTTTGGGCCCCGACCATGCCCTCACGGTTTTGTTTCTGGGAACTCACACGAGCAGAACTTCCTAGTGGGTCACCCATCCTGGGAATGCTCTGGCCCAATCTCGCTTAACTTCGGAGTTTCTACAGAACCCGAAGCCAATGACCTCCCAAAAAGCCTCGTGCTAGGTAGAGATGGGAATATACATATAAGGCTTACATGATCCACTCCCCTAGGCGATGTGGGATGTTACAGGTGAGTAGAGTTTAGAAACTGGGAAGCCCATCATTGAGCAAGGACTAGAAGTAGAAGATTGCTGGCATGAGAGAAGGTAGCCTCTCCCGAAAAACATGGTCTAGTTTCTCTTATTTTCCGTAACGCTAAGGGGTAGGGGAAAAGCAAGCTGAACCTTTGATAGATATAGACTCAAAAAATTATTAGCGTGGAAACTTTCAAGATTAGCATATTGACGTGATGGTCCACTTAAAACGCCACTACTCTAATGACTATTTGAACTAAGGCAATCTTTTAGTGGGTTGTTGGCTCCACCTGTTATCTTCTTCTGCAACATGTTGCTCCCTTCCTATATCCACTAGCGCTCTTGCCCAAAATGAAGATAAGGCAAAAAAATAATGTAAAATTGCACGAGCAGGTTTATATTGCTAAGTGCTTGGTCGGTTGAATGTGCTCTTGTTCAGGTTGGATTTGTCCCTCACACAGCTTCCCGGGGCTCTTGCCTGTCGAGCAAGGTTTGCTGCTTGGTGTGCTGTAATATGAGTTTGCTGTTAGTTTGAATGGTGCCTTTGTGGGGCTTTTTGTTGGGCCTTGAGCCTCACAATCAAATCTAACATAGATTTGAGCGTGCTACTGTTATCTTTATATAACAGACTATTCTTTATTGGTTATTAGTTGGGTTGATTGCTTGCAACACAAGTTATTTATACTTCTTGATTCTATTGCATTGTCACAGATGGGTTAAGTCTGTATAAAGTTCTTTTTCTTGCCTTCTAAACAAGGACTTTTACTCATAATATTGTATGTCTAAAATGAAAGGGGTTTAAGGCCAATCCAACCATTCATTTGATTACATTTAACACTTAAAGACATAAGGCTAATTAGTTTGGCCATATTGATCATATATGAGACATTGAACGAAAGACAGTTGAAAGTGATTTAAAAACATAGTGGAATATGCATTAAACAACATATCTACTTTATGTAAGTAGAAACAAAAGAGACTTGGGCAAGATATTAACTATGTCGGGCAAGGTTCAACTTCTTGCAACCACTTATCTTTATGTTTACAGGGGTTTGTAGACTTAGGAAAATGAAATGTAAATAAGGTTTCCTAAAGGGATTCAATACTACAATATTAGGGGAGCAGAGCTTCCAAATTTGACAAGAGATGGCTTTCTATAGGGAATTTATGACTAAAAAGGCAGAGTCTAGACGAAATGCAGCTTTCTGGTTTCTTGCTTGTTTGAGAGCAAAGTTTAGATGTCTTTTAATTGATTGGTTGAGTGTCTTTGTCTCTGGTGTCTTTTGCTATTTTTATAGACGTTTTAGCCTGACATTCCAAGCTTTGCCTTTTGCTGATGGCCTTTGGAAGATGGTGAGTCACCATGTATTCACTCATTTATGCCCTTGAAAAGTGCTTTTGTTGACGGTGAGTTGCCCTCATGTCGCCTATCACTTCTCACATAGGCATATTGACTATGCCTTGTTGAAATGGTTTTTAATTATTCCTGGGCCATCAACTTGTCCGAGCCCAGTCCTCTCTTTGCTTTTATGTTCTTAGGCCTCCATCGTCACAAAGCCCATTGTTAAATATCCACCCAAACAATGCCCCCTTTAATCATTGTTAAGTATGCTAAACAAGACATTGATACAACAACAACAACAACAAAGCCTTTTCCCACTAAGTGGGGTCGGCTATATGAATCCTAGAACGCCATTGCGCTTGGTTTTGTGTCATATCCTCCGTTAGATCCAAGTACTCAAGTCTTTTCTTAGGGTCTCTTCCAAAGTTTTCCTAGGTCTTCCTCTACCCCTTCGGCCCTGAACCTCTGTCCCGTAGTCACATTTTCGAACCGGAGCGTCAGTAGGCCTTCTTTGGACATGTCCAAACCACCGGAACCGATTTTCTCTCATATTTCCTTCAATTTTGGCTACTCCTACTTTACCTCGGATATCCTCATTCCCAATCTTATCCTTTCTCGTGTGCCCATACATCCCACGAAGCATCCTCATCTCCGCTACACCCATTTTGTGTACGTGTTGATGCTTCACCGCCCAACATTCTCTGTGCCATACAACATCGCTGGCCTTATTGCCGTCCTATAAAATAAAATTTTCCCTTGAGCTTCAGTGGCCTACGACGGTCACACAACACGCCGGATGCACTCTTACACTTCATCCATCCAGCTTGTATTCTATGGTTGAGATCTCCATCTAATTCTCCGTTCTCTTGCAAGATAGATCCTAGGTAGCGAAAACGGTCACTTTTTGTGATCTTCGCTAGATTGCTCCGGTCATTAGTGACGATAAGTATATAAATGGATAGAGATAGGAAAGCAAACACAAGATGTACGTGGTTCACCCAGATTGGCTACGTCCACGGAATAGAGGAGTTCTCATTAATTGTGAAGGGTTTACACAAGTACATAGGTTCAAGCTCTCCTTTAGTAAGTACAAGTGAATGATTTAGTACAAATGACATTAGGAAATATTGTGGGAGAATGATCTCGTAACCACGAAACTTCTAAGTACCGGAGTGTGGTATCGTCTTGACTTTCCTTATCTGTCTCATAGGTAGATGTGACATCTTCTCTGGAAGTACTCTTCCTCCATCCAGGGGTGGTATCTGTAACTGGTGGAGATGCACAAGGTAATGTATCAATGTCACTTGAAGCTTACTTGTAGTTTCAGGCTTGGTCAAGCGCAATACAAACCATGTAGTAGGAGTCCCCCAAGTCGCCGAGCTAGGGGATCTGCTGAAAGAGGTGACAGACAAGGTAAGCAATCAGAGCTCCGGCTGATTGTTCACATTCTCCCTATCTTGCAGGCAGCATGAAGGATAAAGAGAAGAAAAATGATATTAGCACCACTTAATTAGCCGTTTTGAATAAACCTTTGCAATAACCCATGATGTCTCAAATTTAACTACATGCCCGTTAAATAACTTCCACTTCACTTTTCTCGATCATCTTCTTCAACCAACTTGACTTTTTAAGCTTTCAAATCTCTTGTATTCTCAACTCTTTCTAGCCTCGATTTCTAGTCACCCTTTATTCCTTCATCTCGATTTCAACAATGGCTCCCAAATCGCGCCCTGTATGCGAGTCTGGAGAAAGAATCATCAACTTGCGCCGTCAGCTCAATGGCCTCTATCGTCTTTGGGCTGGCCTGAATTTGTTTATCTTCTTCAAGGAAGAAGGTACACTTACTAGGGCCCACTTAAACTGCCTAAGTCCCTGTTGTAGTGGAAAGTAACATGCCCGCTATTAACTGGTTTACTCTTAACCCCTCTGCTGAGGCTGGAATCTCTACCTCCAAGTGGTCTAACTTCAGGAAGGGTTTTCCTTTGATGAAGGATGAAGCATGGTCTCAGTGGGTGGACGAATTGAAGCCTATTTGGAAGCATAATTGGATGACAAATGACATCTATGAGCTTATCATGATGTCTAAGACCACTGTCCCTATCAAGCACGAGATTCTCTCAATAGCTCTTCTTTTCTGAAACAACAAGACCAATACTTTTGACTTCAGAGTGGGTTCTATAACTCCCACCATCTTGGATATGGCTCGGGTTTTTGGTCTGAAGCCATTGGGTAGGTGTGTGGACATCACACACGACTAGTCCTCCCCTCTCGTCCGACTACTGAAAGCTTAGAGGC